GAGAGAGCGAGAGACAGAGCGCCTGAGAGAGAGAGAGAGAGAGAGAGCGAGAGACAGCCAGAGACAGACAGACAGAGCGCCTGAGAGAGAGAGAGACAGAGGGAGAGACAGAGACAGAAAAAGACAGAAAGAGACAGGGGCATGAACAGGAACAGAGACAGAGACGAGAGAGAGAGGGGGAGAGCGAGATAGGGAGAGACAGCGAGAGACAATATGGAAAGAGCCACATTCTCACAATTAATGCTGTGAGCATTCTCAGGTCACCGATACCCGTCGTAAGACTCACCTTCACGTACGGCACTCTGTTTTTGTCTTCGTGTACTGCCAAGTTGATCTTCGAAACTGAAACGGGCAAGTTAATCAGCATTTAAGTAGATAGCAAGAGATTCAGTTGTGTCATAAAGACATGAACACAACACTTACATACACACACCCTTCTTATATCAATAGAGCCAAATCAAAGGGATTGTGGGAATACAAAGCTACAGGTTGGGGTGGGATATAAGCCTCTATCCATTTTCTATCTTGGATGACTTTATTTGTATTTTTAAATCTGAGACACATATACTGCCATATTATACTGGGTGATTCCAACATAAAATACCTATCAGCATTAAAAAAAATTAATCGACCTAGTAATAATGTACAGGTTATTTCGCTTGCTCGGATAGGATCATTAACCTTCAGTGGCTCACGACCAGAGTGAGAGACTGGCATTCCACTTACTATCGAGCAGATCCCGAATCTTGTCCATGTAGATCTCAAAGTAGGAGACCTTGATGTGGAATTCGAGATTCGCATCCATCTGGTAGATGTGGTTAAAGACGTCCTGCACTATGCGTGGGATGATTCCCATCTTCATTGGATCCTCCAGGTCCGATCCCTGCAAGCATCCCGTCATCACGACGATGAAGCCTAAGCTTACTTTAGGGTATCTGTCTGTCTGAGTGTATGTCTGTGTTTCTGTGAATGTATGTCTGTGTTTCTGTGTGTGTGCGTGTGTGTGTGTGTGTGTGTGTTTCTGTGAATGTATGTCTGTGTTTCTGTGTGTGTGTGTGTGTGTGTGTGTGTGTGTGTGTGTGTGTGTGTGTGTGTGTGTGTGTGTGTGTGTGTGTGTGNCATCCTAGTCCCACCCACAGTATCTCTCATCCTAGTCCCACCCACAGCATCTCTCATCCTAGTCCCACCCACAGCATCTCTCATCCTAGTCCCACCCACAGCATCTCTCATCCTAGTCCCACCCACAGTATCTCTCATCCTAGTTCTTCCCACAAGCTCTCATTTTAGTCTCACCTGCAAGATATCTCTTATCTTAGTCTCCCTCGGAATCTCATAGCCTAATCTCATTTACACGATCTTTTATATTCCCCTCCCCCCACCTGCATGATCTCCCATCCGTCCTAATTCCTCTGTAAGATATCAGTAATCTCTGTAATTCCTCTCTCAGCCTGATTCCCCCTCAGCATCACTAAGTTTAGTCCCGTCAGCATGTTTTACGAAAGAGAGGAAGGTTGTCCAAATGAGAGCAACTGATCCAACGTAGACGGTGCGGAAGTGTGGAGGCAGTAAGTAGAAGTTGAGTAGCTGCGCTGGTGCCCAAAATAACCATGACACCTGTAGAGGAAAACAACTAACAGGTAAAATTACAGTAATACAAAATTACAAGTAAACCGGTAGAGCGTACGCACACACACACACGCACGCACGCACGCACGCACACACACACACACACACACACACATTCCATTTGCAGATTAGCAAATATCACTAGTTAAAGCAAATAATGCAAACACTTTAATTTCGCCAATGCATTTGATATACCCGGTCATGGCAGTCACAGAATCTCTCTCATACCCACCTGCTAACGATAAGTATACCGTCCCCTCTGATACTTACGATATGGAGGCTTGAACTATCACTGAACTAAGGATTGCATAAACTTCACACAGAGAACGCCCCTTTACATCACTGTCTAAACTGTGTCTATAGGACTCTACATAACGATGTACATCCCGACAAATAATAGACTGATTCCAAACTAAACGTCCCTGTGGCTGCTGCCCCTAGCGACGTGCAAACATCGACTTATGGAGTCAGTCTATAGGTATAATCATAAATCATCAGTATAATCATAAACCGACAAAAATATTTTTGAGTAACCCAAAACTAGATGGACGCGTGAGGAATAGGAATGAGGAACACGTTTCTTACCAAGTATGTTGTTAGATACTTCTGCTTGATCTCTTTCTTTACATCTGCGACAGACTTCCCTTCGAGAGTACCCAGAGCTGAAAACAGAGGGGAGATATAACTGCTGCACGCGTAGGTACTGGGGTCGCGTCGTAGACGTGTAGGCTACAGGCGTGACTGGCATATGCGCAGGAACCCACAGGCACGTGGAGCGTTTCAATAAAATATAATGCTAAATAAATACGAAATCTATTTACTACCAAAGTCTTAATGTTTCTCTACTCTCTTTCGCCTATTATTGCCAACAATTTCCTGTAAATGCCGTGCAAATGCTCCTCTGCAACACACATGTACCGCACGCACGCTGCCGCACACTGACACATATATATAGTGTGTGCTGCAGAGGAGCATTTGCACGGCATTTACAGGAAATTGTTCTTATTCGTATTTATTTAGCATTATATTTTATTGAAACGCTCCAAGTGCCTGTGCAGGAACCAGGCCCGTAGCCAGGGGGGTTCGGGGGGTTCGAACGAACCCCCCCCCACCCGAGCCGTCCCCCCCAAGCAAAAAAAGATTTTTGTTGAAATTTGCAAGAATTTCACCTCAGGTCGCTCCATTTTAGTGTAATAATTGCAAAATCTCCATCGTGCGGAGGGTGAACAGTGAACACCCCCTCCCACACCCTCCCCCGCTCGCGTCGCTTGGCTCCCTCACCTGGTCGCTTCGCGCCCGAGCAGGGGCGTGTACAGGGAGGCAGGGGGGGTCAGGGAGTCCAGACCCCCCTTGCTCGCGCAGAAAACGCATCTGAGGGGTGTAATTTAAAAAAAATTTGGGGGAGGGCCCCCCAGACCCCCCCTTCGCGTGCGTCTAACTTTGGGTTACGGTTAGACCCCCCCCCCCCTGGTACAAATCCTGTACAGCGCCCCTGCCGAGCAGATTGCTAACATTGAACAAGAGCCGGCAGAGCGTCTGGGCTCATCTATCTGAGTCTGTTGCTACGATTATAAACGTAAAATTTCAGTCGTGCGTAGTACCACATTTGTTAGGCGCAGATATGGCAGACACGCAGTTGCGTACACATCATTGTTAGGACACGCCACTATCGCAGATGGAGGGTAGGGGGAGGGTGGGGGGAGGGGGTGGGGGGGTGGGGGAAGGGGCGGGGAGAGGGGGTGGGGGGAGGGGAAGGGGAGGTGGGGAGTGGGCTCTAATAGCAAAAGCAGTTCACTCCTTTGTTAACAGTCAACAAATCCATGTTTAACCTCCTCTTGAGGGTCAAAAGGTTACGACACTTACTCTTCGCATGTCAGCAGAAGGGACATTTCATGGTCCTTTCAATAAAGCCATAAAAATGCTAAGGTCACCCGCTGAAACAAAAAGTTTTTCAATCGCTCCGTGCAGACCATGTCCTCAGAAAATGTCTAAAATCTGCCCTGTGCCCATTGACCTTTGACCTGTGACCTCCAATTTCGGCACAGTGATGGCTTTTCCTACCATGATGCTATACACCGACTATCACGAGCCTAGGTCGAGCCGTTTAGATTTGTGCCGCAATTCTGCATTTCCTCCCCTATACCTTAAGTTAAGGAGTGAATGTTCCCCCTTCTTTTACACCTCTTGACCTTTGCCCCCAGCTTCGACATCCCAACTCGTTTTGACGATCCCCCAACGACGCCGAATATCGTGACGTACGTCGAGCGGTTAAGATTTGTGCCCAACTGTGGACGACGGACGGACGGACGGACGATCATGCGATTCTACAAGCTGCATCTGACTATGTCAGATGAGCTAAAAACGAACCCCCCCCCCAACATAAAGCTGGCTACGGGCTAGCTCCAAGAAACGGTATTGCTAGGGTTAGAATACCCTAGTCTATTGCCTTGGTGCCTATTGCCTATTGCCTTGGTCTAGCCTTGGTGTATTGACGTTAGTCACACAGCCTGGTCGGGTTAGCTACGGGCCTGCAGGAACCAATAACGTATCAGCTCCAGTTCCTTTATCGTTAAAACAAACAACCCATCGAAGCGCTATGAAGAGATACCATGCCGCCTAGATCGTTAGACTACAACCTCTGTCGAGCGCCATCGCTTCGTACTTTAGATCAATGTAATTCGTACACGCGCATCCGCGGCTGTAGCGCAGCGTCTGCCATGCAGAGGTCACACTCGCGTTCACCGCCACGAACATTGCGCACACGCGAACACGGGAGAAATCGCACTCACTCACATGCACTTCACCACCTCATTCTCCAGTTGGCACCAATCCAAGAAAGTGCGGCAGAAATGACAGCAAGCTAAACTTCCACAAATAACACACGCGCACGCAGCACGCGCACGCAGCACGCGCACGCGGTAAAATACGGAAGCGATAAGAAACCGGTCAGTGACGTGTATGACCTCCGCTGGCATATTACTCGCATACACGTGCCCATCCGGCTATACGCGGCTAGAGCCAACTTAGTCACCGCCAGAGTGCATCCTAGTAGCTAGCTAGACTACAATGATCCACCTACCTGCGAAGAAAAGAGCGAGCGTGCAGGGCGCAAGCACGCCCTGATCGACCACAACCTTCGGGATGAGTATCCTGAGGGCCTTCCCGGGCATCCAGTGGTCGAGCATCCGGTACCACAGGAAGACGATCGGCCCGAGCAGGAAGGTTCCTGTCGCGCCGAAATTGCCGACGCTACGCCAGTCGACCTGCAGGCGGTGCTCGTCGCCGCGGCCCGTGACGTAATAGTGTCGGAGCGTCTGCTGCGTGAGGTCCGACGCCATGTAGAGGCCGCCGTAGGTGACCGAATTCGCGACGATCGGATACTTGCGCAGGTTTCTTGTCACATGCCGGAGTGCGTTCATGGTCACAGTGATGCACGCGTCTCTGTCTCTCTCTCACTGTGTGGTGTTCTCCCACGCACTCTCTCCCACGCACTTGCTCTGTGTGTGTGCGCGTGCGTGCGTTCGTGTACGTGTGCGTGTGTGTTTCTGCCTCGCACTTGCTCTCTCTAGCCCTCTACCTTCCTCTCTCTCTCTCTCTCTCGCTCCCACTCTCTCTCTCACTCTCACTCTCACTCTCACTCTCTCTCTCTCTCTCGTCTCTCTCTCTCTCTCTCTCTCTACTCTCTCCTCTCTGTTGCGCGTCTCTGTCCTCTGTCTCTCTCGTTCCGCCTCTTCTCATCTCGTCCTCTCATCTCTCTCTCTCTCGTCTCTCTCTCTCTCGTCTCTATCTCTTCTCTCTCGTCTCTCTCACTCACTCTCTCTCTCCTCTCCACTCTCCTGTCTCTGTTCTCATCGCTCTCTTTCTCATCTCTCTCTCACTCTCTCTGTGCAACTTCTCACGTCAGTACTCCCTCCGTCTCTCTCTGCGCGAGAAAGAGAGAACACGTGCCTGCACAGCTAACGCAGTTCTTTACAGGAGGCGCGACTAGCATAGGCGTCATTATATCGATTGCAAGCGTTAGCCAGCTCTATACAGTCGGTCTATTTGATAGGGGGGACTGGGTTCACCTCGCTTGGCAAACGGCATCGTATACACGGGATAGATCGGGGGTAGTTGTCAGACTAGTTATGCCCAGAGTTCAGAAGCTAACTGAACGAAAAGCTGGCGTAGTAACGCTTACTGCAATATACCTGATGAAACTATAGCCTATTCGAAGCTCGTAGTTCGTGATCGTATAATTTTTTACTTTAGCGCATGAGATCTAATGTGCATCTATATTTATCTATGTACTATCTATATCTAATCTATTTATCGTATATCTCATATATATATATAATCTAGTAGTAATATATTATATATATATATCAGGGGGTTCAATAATGCTGAGACGAAGGTCTATGTCCCCCGCGGGTTACTGCCCTCGGAACGTTACCTGGGGTCGGCCGTATACCGGAACGTAATATGCCGACCGTACTCGTTCTACTCCACTAACGAGAGCTCTAGGGAGTTGCCTACGCCTACTCCCTAACCCAGAACCCGAACCCTAATGTCTAAACCCCTGAACCATATCAAATAGTGACCAGGGTACGTTCGGATATACCGGACCGTACCCAGGTACGTGTCCGGCAGTACCCTGGCGGGAACATAGGACCCTATGCAGCGTTTTAAAGTGATTACGTCACCGTAATTTCTAGCACATCAAGCTAGTATATTGGGTGTGTTATTTGTACAAATAAGATGTATGAAAATACAATTAGCTGTTCTGTTTACTATTTTCATTGCTCTATATACCTTCTGTATATGCGCCTAATTTGCCGGTGAAAACGCAAGGACGCAGTATCTGAACAGTGACTGGCGGAATCGTGTTAGACAAACAGAAATTACCAATCGTCTGATTATTGCAATTTAACACAACGTAAAACATATTTATCAGAGGTGAGATAGTTGCAGGATATATTTGAGTAACGTTAGTTCCTTACTATTTAAATGGGTAAAAAAATGTATTTTTTGTTTTTTTACAAATTTTACCATAGAAAATTCGCTGGAGTAAGTCAATTTAGGCCTGACAATGACATGTCATAATGAAAATTTCATTATTAACCCCTGACTAAGTATATATATTTATAATATACTATAGATATTATTATATATATATAGTATTATATATTATATATGATATACGTTGGCAAAAATCAAAATCTGCAAACTTACCGCCAAGCGTAAAACCACAATGAAACTGACTGCGCTGAATTATTGTTTTTTTCATTTGGGAATTTGGGATACGCATTGCGGTTACAATATAGAACATCTTCAGAAATTTTTGCTTCACAATAGATGACACAAATCACGAAATCAAACGTAGGATATAACCCAGTCACGATTCTGACTAAACATGAAATAGGAAGTGTTAATTTGACACCCCCCCCCTGATGAGAAGCGAACACGGGGGAATGAAATTATGTAGTATAATAATAACTAGAAAGATGGGTAGTTGTCGCCAACGTACATGGATATCCCCCGCTGATCTAGTATGAATGAATATCTCTGTAAGAACGTTAGAAGCGTAAGGTAAGATTAAATAAACTTCACAAAGCACAAACGTTTGTTACACAACTCATCTGCACCAGTGAGCATGTAAGTATGTTAAAGATGGTTGCCTTAGGGTTTTTGGTGACGCGAACACCTGTTCCCAAGATGCTGTAAGTACCAAGATTGCGTAGCGCCTAAGGTACAATTAGGCGCGCCGGCTAAATAGAGCGGAAGGAAAATATGGTCAAGGATCAATGTCAAAGGATCAAATAAAGGACTCACATGACCTAGGTTTTGACTACGCAACACCACTTTATCCCAAGATGTGTAAGTATAGCCAAGTGTTTGGTAGCCGCTAGGTAAATTTACGGGGCTTGAGGTTATAGAAGTGGAAGCGACATATGATCAAGGTCAGGTACAAGCGTCAAATAAAGTTGCAGTGACCTCGTTTGGTACGCTGTGCACCTTCTCCCCAGAATGTGCAAAGTATACAAGTTTAGTAGCGCTTAAGGTCAATTTAGGGGACTGAGTTACTTGAGAGCGGCGAAGGGAAATATGATCGAAGGTCAAGAGTAAAGGTAAAATAAAGGTTGCAGTCGACCATGTTTTGGTACGCTGCGACCTTCATCCCCAAGATGTGTAAGTAGACCATGTTTGAGTCCACGCCGTAAGGTCCAAATTTAGAGCCGAGTTATAGAGTGGAAGCGGCAAATATGCTCAAGGTCAATGTCAAGGTCGAATAAAAGTCGCCAGTCCAGTGACGTAGGTTTTGGTACGCCGACACATCAATTATCCCACAGATGTGTAAGTACTACACAATTTGTCATCGCGCTAGGTCAATTAGGGGCCGAGTGTAATAGAGCACAGGAGCGGAAAGATGATCAAGGTCGAAGGTCAAATAACAGGCGCAGTGACGTCGAGTCTTTGGCTAACGAGTGCACACCTAGTCTCCAAAGATGTTAGGTATACAAGATTTTAGGATAGTGCTAGGGATCACATTGACGGCGGCCGCGGTGTTATAGAGCGGAACGGAAAATATTGGTCAAAGGTCCTGTCAAGGTCAACATAAGAAGGTGCACAGGACCCTGTTTTGGATACGCAACCAGCACCTTATCCCCAACGATGTGTAAAGATACCAAGTTTGATAGCCTACCGGTAAATGGGGGCTGAGCTTATAGAGTGCTGAAGGCGAAATATGATTCAAGGTCAAGGGTAAAGCGTCAAAGGATAAAGGTTGCCAGTGACCTGGTTCTTTGAGTACGTTGTGCACCTTGCTCCCAAGAGGTGCAAGGTATTACCAAGTTTGGCCTAGCGCCGGAGGTCAATTAGCTGGGGCCGAGCTTATAAGAGCAGAAAGGAAATATGATCTAACGGTCAAGGGTAAAGATCAAATAGAACGGGTTGCATGCACACTGCGTTTTTCGGTATCGCTGCGCACCTTCTCCCCAAGATGTGTAAGTAGACCATGTTTGATCCACGCTAGGTCAATTAGTGTCGAGTTTAGAGCGCAGAAGGGAAATATGGATCAAGCCCGGCAAGGCTCAAGGTACCAAATAAAGGTTGCAAGTAGACTGGTTTTGAGACGCTGCGCACCTTCATCCCCAATATGATGTAGTTAGACCATGTTTGGTCACGTAGTCAATTAGGTGTCGAGTTAATAAGCGGAAGGGAAAGTGTCTGCGGAGCGCGCGCGGCGGGCTGGACAGAGACATGAAACCATAGTACCCCGCCGGACTTCAGTCGCGGGGGCATGTACACATTAGATTAGAATTGGTTCTTCAATCGGTAAATGGCTCTTAGGCATTTGATTGTGATTGAGCTTACACAGGCCCTCTATGGATTCAGACGTGCGAATACGTAAGGACATTCCGCACCGTTTTATGCTGATGTCATCATGCAGAGATCGCCGGTACATATTTGTTGTAGATTTCGCCTTTCATTGCATGGACAGTGCAGTAATTAAGCGATTAATTGGGGAAAGACTAATCGGTAGTGTGCCGTGTGATGAGAACCTAGCGCGCACACACACACACGCACGCACCGCAACACACGCCACGCACGCACAACGCAACACAACACACACACACATGCGCGCACACGCACGCACGCACGCACACACATACATACACTCACTCACGCATGCATACCTGCACACGTGCACCCAAGCACGCATAATACTGAGAGCGGGGATTTACCATGATATGTTGCATTGTAATAAATGTATGTAATGGTGGGGGTTGGGAAGGGTTGGGTATTTCGTAGGTAACCCCAGTGTAAACAACACTAAAATAAATGTAAATCACCACTTCGTCATACCTAAAACCCTCGCCTGTGATCTACCCCTTTCACACAATATTTATTGACTAGGAGTTGTGTCCCACTATCCCCATGACTCAGCTGCATCACGAAAACCTGCCCAAACCTCCTAGGAATTCACTCAGACTACGATTCTGGCAATGCAATATGTTCTGTCCTGGCAATAAATCAGTCGAACTTGCCCTTGCATTTTCATACCAGACCATAACCAGTTACCAGTACAACAATTCATTTAAAATTCCACTCATCCTAAATAATACTACGTTCGTAAATATATTAATGCTAGAAAACCACAAACGTGATACGGACGGATGTAGGCCAACGCGGCCGTGTGACTAGTTTAAACACACATTACAATGACTACTGTGTACACGAGGGGCTTTAAGCGTTTCTGCTAGGACGGATTGCGTTAATACACTGTTTGACAGGATACACATACGGTCTAAGCATCAGACGATCAGTGGGAAAAAGAACGTCTCTATAGCAGGTGGAATTTGCCCAAAGGCTTATATACGCACGTGTCTTCCACAACATATAGGTTGACACAGTGGTAAAACTGCCAAACATGACGCACAATAAAATCGCAGTATCATATTCCTACGTATGGAATCAGGAAAAAGGGCAAAAAAATTGATTTTGGTCTTCCTCCAAGTGAAAACATTTAAATTCTCGAGCACCAGGTTTACGAAGGTAGTCATGGTTTGCAGCTAGCACCACTTACACAGGCCAAAAGTTGTGATACTGGACTATGTAAACTACGCTATATGTGACCGTTTTTTTTACATTTATCATCTATGGTGAAAGCTGTGCAGCGTCCTTTTAGGAGCTGCACCATTTTTGACTTTATTGCATTGAAGCTGTTATCACTACTGAATCGCATTAAAAGTACAACATCACCCATCACTACACCTGTTCCCGCTCCAAGGTCTTAATCCGCATCTCTTGCTGTCGTACTACAGCCTGCAACTGCAAATAAAGAAGATACGTACACTTAAAGCCAAACTAGATAGAGCTATCAGTATCACTGATAGTGATGAATACCCCCACAATACTGCTTTGTCGGAGGGGAAATGGAAGGTCATGGTGTCGCATATATTATGAGTAAAGAATACACTGAACACAAAAAGATATGATGGAACTACAAAAAAAGATGAGACACGGTTTCCATGGCAACGCCTTGACCGACGCACACACAAAATATGTCACGCACATCTACACTTCCTGGTGATCAAGTGTATGAAGTTTGATTGGAATCCCTTGAAAACTGTGGAAGTATTTCGTGCCACAAACTTTCTGCAACAGACTGACCGACTGACCGCTCACCCGCCCGCCTGACCGACCGTAAGATTACTCCTATATACCCCCAAAACTTCGTTAATTAACGAAATGGTATAATTAACAACGGGTATAATTAATTCAGCACATGTAGTGTTTCTAAAATGACCCCAGGGTGGACAATGAAAACTCTTGACCACCTCACAATATGTCTGCAGAAAACGAGATTTGACTTTGAATCATTTATTGATAATTCTACAACACCTAATTTGGCCTCACCTAGATGGTGGCATTTTGGCTGCGCACTTACCATTATTAAATGTGAATAACGTTATTAAGGATATATGCTATCATATATTAATGTAATAGCTCTTGCCATGGCTACATGTTGTAATTTGACTTTACTAATCTATTATTATCAATGTGCGCTTCTCCTTTGAAACGTTTCACACTCACATGTCTAGAGTAACTTGCAATATTACGAGGTTATGTTAGCTCTTCGTTGTATTGCCAATGTAGTGCACAATCCAATATTACTCTAGCCTCCTGCTTTAATAAGTATCAATATGACCTGGATTATTTAATACTAGAGGTGAGGATTGCATCTATAGCACATTTACTAATGAAGTAGCTGGTCACAGAATAAAAATTATGTAAGAACAGGGCTTGTAGGTACCAGATCTTTACTTACCCAAACATAAAATTTCCCACTTATGGATGTAGCTATATTCACATGCACGTGATGTACCAAGCACGCGAATGTAGCTACAGTCACAGGTGTACAATCTTAGAGTAAAAATATAATTAAAATTAAAAAAAGTAATGACAAATATTAAGTAAACAAATATAATTAAAGTAGATCATTTTCACACATCCTGGCACCAACCTGCATGCTAACATGGCTTGGTTCACGTGATGGAAGACACATGAGAAACAACATGGCAATAGCGATCGCGCAATCAATGATCTTCATTAACAATAAACCACGATGACAGGTGTTGCAGATGTGAATGAATTGAGCAACAGATGCAAATTAGTCTGAAGCTGGATAATATGAACAGCACAAGATAGGCTGGGGTGATTGACAAAGTTGCATACCTCTATGTTTTGTGTCTGCAGTTCTGCCACTTGTTGTCGCAGGTTTTCTACCATGTCCAGACCACATAGAGGACAGCTGACCTGGAGACAAGCAATATAAACGTAGATAATTTGTGAAATACATCGTAAATTTCAATTTATTCATTTTTTCATCTGACAACTTATACTTAAAACCCAATTTCTCCTGATAGATGGCGCCACAGAGGTATCTGCTCAACAACAAAGCAGGTGGTTTTCTTTTTGTATTCAAACTGTCATGTTAGAGTTACCAATGCAGCATGATAACTAAGACGTAAGCACAAGTAAAGCACAGTTGAGAAAAAATTTCCACAGGATATGCTGTCATATATCTTATTAGGACAAAACTGTCTTTTCCGAAATATAAAAAGGCTGCTATGCGGCAAGGCTGAAAACTGACAAATTTACATGTCACTGAGTGAAATATTGGCCGAGTTACATACTTTTTTGGAACCTGCCTGAAATGTGTCCACCTCTGCTGTATTAGTAGATGGAAATGTACTTTGTGACTGAGAATCCTCCGTACCATAAGGAATAAACTCTGCATCAGCCAGCTCCTGAAACATGCATTGATTACAAAAATTAATGCAACTCTTATTAAACCATAACAAGGAACACACTCACTTGATTTAGGTGTGAATGTCATGATTTTGACCTGACGACATAACCTAACAATTTTGACCATGAAAAAAGCATTAAAACATGGTTTTGGCCAAATCTACACTGGGTATCCTGATTTCTGAACTTTACCTGCTTGTAGAAAATTACTTTATATGCCTACGATTAATAGTTTTAGCCAATCAAAATTGGAGTTTCCTTTGTTATCATAAAAATATTTGATCAAACAGTAGACACTTGTATGCATTTGATATTTAACTAGCTACGTAATCCATGCAATACCTCGGACAAGAATCCCAGTGAAGATTTGGAAAAATGCTGACATATGCTGTATGCAGGCATATGTGCAGCCATGCACCCATGCACCCAATCATGCATATGCATTTACATGTACAGGATTCAGCAAAAGTCCCCATACGTGTATCAGCCAATCAGGCACAGAGCCCGTGCCACTCGTGCTCAGGTGCGGAGCATCTTTGCGCAGCTGCAGTTTATCAGCGCCCTCTGTGGCAAGCAATGACGTAATGCCGGAATCACCAAGGTCTGTGCGCTCTGCTGCTTCAGTTTTTGCCCATTCTGTAAAACAGAGTAAACAGAATCAAGGCGTTTTATCACAGATTCAATTCACCAGGAGCGTAGTTAACCAATTTTGCCTGGAGGGGGGCGGGCAAAGCCACGTGCGTGGTACGTTCTGGGAAGGTGACCGCCATTGACCACCATGTATCAATCATATCTTATTTTTTCTGGGGGGGGGCAGCTGTCCCACTTGCACTCCCCCTGCTAGTTACGGCCCTGTTCACACAAGCTGAAAATATGCAGGACGTTAACCTTGTGAATGAATACATGTGTCACATGTAAAATTACCAAGTTGTTAAAAATATTAAAGCTTATACAATTAAAGTAAAGTAAGTGAATAAAGCTAATATTAAATATCAATAAAAGTTATAAAAGTAGTTTAGTTTTTAAGTAGTTAAGTTATTAAACCTTAACATATATTATATATTACAAAATTACTACAAATAGACGATTTTTGCTGACATATACTAATTCTCAAGACAAGCTATTCATACCCAGCAAGAATTTTAACTCCAAACGCAGTAATTAAAAGGATCATGGGTACAGTGATTACAAACAAACTTTGTAGTGCTTAATGGAAACCCAAAACTTTAAAGTACTGTGCAATACCTTTAAAATAAGAAGAATCACTAAAAATCCACTAATTAATTTTCAGGTATGCAGTTACCTATAAATATTAGTTAATACCTAAAGATTAAAAAAAGGTTACTAATAAATGTAGTAGGCAACTAGGTAATAAATGTAGCAATTTTTCGGAACATTCACAAATACCTTTTTTCATTATCCCAATCCCGCTAAATTTTCGTTGGTGCAGAGTTTGCTCTAAAAGAAAAACAATAATATATTATTAGAACATCGTTAGCCATGCATATTTGTTTCCAAAATAGTTATTTAGTTACAGAAGTTCTGAAACTAAGCTGGTGGCTATGCCTGTAACTGCTTGATGCCTGTGGTTGCACTATAGTATACCAGATGATGGTAGCACTACATTGGATTGTGCATCCCCATGACGCATTACTAAAAGTGTTGAATTTGCACATAAGCGTTGTTAATTAGGAGGCTTCAATCCAATCACAACACACCTAAAGAGTTGCTTACTCAGTTGTTACACTTGTAGCATCTGACTGCAAATGCCTATCATAGATAATACCATAAACCTATTACATACCAACACCAATACTGGTAAATGGTAATACCACTACCAATTACTGCATATCTTGTGCTCTTGAGATCATCGGCCGTGTCCTAAAGACCAAAGCTTTCTATGAAATTTGCTCGAACATGGCTTTGACATGTCCCTGTGCAAAGAAAATTGCATCGGGAATCCCTATAGTATTATGCAGTGGTGCATTTTTTTAGCAGCAGGCCTCTACAAACCTACCTGCGATCATGATGACGCTCCAGTGCCTAGCTGCCAGGGCCACCACCAGATGAAGACTCCCGAAAATAGGCCGGGGTAAAGATGTTCGCCCAGTCTCACTGGATACCATTTGACCACTCACTCCAAGCTGGCCATTGTCCCCTCGACCCCACGAGTATATATGATTGTCTGAAAATTAACACCATGGCAGGGTTATGTAACACGCGCAGGCCTCCCGCTCAGTATTACACACATGCTTATGTGTATGCGCACACACGGGGATGTGCACAGTCACATGCACGCACACACACACAAATATACATATCGTACTGTGTTCTGTATGTAACACACATGTAAAGATGGGTTCTGTAACGTGCACATTGTTCTGTAAAACATATACCATGCGCGCATAGTGAGTGATTCACATAGTCTGCAACACGCACGCACGGCTAGGTTATGTAGCACACACATAAGAGCTAGTTGTAGTATACCTCTCGTTGCTGCCACTGTGAAACCATCTCCACAGGCCACCTTTACCACGACTTGACCTGCTAGTGGTCCTGCCACACTGTACGGTCCTTGACACTGCCTGAAGTGTCCCATCCCAAGCTGTCCATCCGCGTTTGAACCAAACGTTACTAATCGGCCGAATTCTGTAACAATAGATGAGGGGAGTTTTATGCACACAATCAGAATTCTGCTTCTTTCAGGTAAAATAACTCAATTATTACCGTTGTAACAGATTAGTATAAATTAATTAGAGTAACGTAAATGTTCATAATACCATCAATTATAGCTGAGTGCGTGTTTCCTGCACTGATCTGCCGGACATCCCACCTTGTGAGCGGCTTCAGAAGATCCAACGTCAGCAGATATTCCACATCATAGGAAATCTACGAGACAGCCAACAAGACAGCATCATGACAGACAGCACTACATAAGCTGCAAGCATGCTAGTGATGAGTACACTCTTACCACGATAAACAGACGTGAGAGTGTATCACACACAGCTGTGCCCCGCAGCAACCATTTGCTTTTGCTTTATAGCAACGGTTTAGAAAAACACCTAATTAAAACAGCGACCATGTTGCTTGCGGTGGTAATGACAACAAAGCTATGCTATGTAGGGGACTTCCTAATGAACATGTCTGCATCGCACTGTGACCTCTACTTCCACTAGATGAGTGCCTGGTATCAAGGTCACATGGACACAGCTAGGCTCTACTATGGCTCTACATAACTGCAAACTCACACGAAGTTTACCTCAAACAATTTTGACCTCATGTTTCAAGAACAAGCAGTAAACGCGACTTTTACCAAATATGTACAGTTTATCCCGAGTTTTGAATTTTACCAATATGTATAAAATTTAATTGATTTCCTTTATCATTATCACTAGTTTAACCATTAGGAATAAGATTTTTCATTGTTGTGATATTCTACAGAACATCTTACATTTTTCCAATATTTCACCAAATATGAAAAAATCACACCACCTACTGGACAAATTAGTTCTAATCCCCGCATTAAGGAACGGTCGCAAACATAAACCCTCACGGAGATTTCCCAATCACATGTATGGCTCCTCTACCTTCTGTTGTCGCACACCGCTCACACAGCTGTTCCTGCCCAACTTGTTGAACTCGTTGCTGCCGCATCCGAGCACCCGACCTGTTGCCACGACGACGAACGTGCGGTCAGGGCCCGCGGTGACGAGTCGCGGCCGGCAGTGGGCAGGTAGAGGCACCAGCTGCGGCATCGCACAGTCGTCCTCACTGCCCAGCCCCAATCTACCTGCAGCATGGCACAGCGTACATGGCCTCAGCCGGGGTGAGGTTGGGGTATTAGACTGGTGGTGCAAACTGTTATATTGTAGAGAGTAGATGTGGAAAAGATTGGTGTTAGCGTGTGGTTGAGAGAGGAGAGTTTTTGGCAATACATTCATGTCTAACTTTAACAGCTATTACAGTTATTGAACAACTGGTGTAAGCTAAAAAAATATAAATGAATAGATGAAGAATAAATGCATCCATTCTCTAGGTTCAATTCCAACTAAGGTGGGACATAAGGAGCTTGATTTGAGAGCTCGACAAGTGGGATGAGGAAGTAGACAGATCAGACCCACTTGTAATGCGTGAGTCCGTGTGAACTCACCATACTCGCCACAGCCCCATGCATACACGCGCCGGGGACCTGCAGTGAGAGCCACCACGTGCGCATCTCCACACGACACCTGCTCCACCTGGTGGGAAGTAAAGTAGTCGACGTGGAGAGGCAGCAAGGCAGTTGGCATCTGTGTTCCATCCACTGCCGCCAAGCATCCATGGTAGTTAGACCCAAATGAAAATAGCTGTCCTTCAGCTAAAGCGGATAAAATGTACATTACCGATTGCATGATGGTCTTACAAATACACGTGAAACGACATTACATGAGATGCACTTTCCCACCAGCACATTTCTTAAGGATGCATTCAGGGTGGTATGTCAAATTTCAATAGTACCCATTTCATTTGATAGATTGTGCCTCTGTATGTGTAGATTTTTAAACAAATGTGTGGTCTCCTAAACAGTTCAAAATCCATACATATGCTTACCTGGCTATTACAAACTCTGGAACGCCTTTTAAATACATAGGTCATTAGCGCACGCTATACTAGAATGCTCTACGTACCACCCTAGCATGCGAATCAGAAACGCCGTTACAGCCGTTTTAAGCACGCTTGTTGGTGCGCCGGTGTTTGTTTACATAGAGATAATAACGTGCATTAATTAGTGGGTGGCGAACAGGAGATTGAAACAGATCAGTTATTTTGTCAAGTTATTTATAACAACATGACATTTTTTAAAGTTTGTTGATGGTAATCGACCATTGATAGGTTGCAGTGAGTACTAACAGTAGCAATTGTACATAAGCATACACTATAAACTATATGTCAATTCTATACACAGCTAGTCGTTCAATCATTGTAGAATGTAGAAAATATGCGTGAATATCTCGCATTAACTGTGTAAGTTGTAACTGATAACTATAATTAGATATAACTATAAGACAACGTGATAAACACACACCGGCTTAATTCTGACGTCGATAATCGCTTTCATGATACATTCACACCATATGTTCAGACTTACTGTCAAGACAAATGGTGAAATCCTCCCCGCACGCAACCAGCTTAATTGAGTGGCCGACTAGGGCTTCTACTCTCTTTGGGGCCTTGTACGACGCAGTGCTACCATGACCCAGCTGGCCTGCCATTCCTGCCGAGGGTAGGCCACTCTGCAACAACAGCAGCAGCATCTTCATTGTAAACCCTGTATCAGTATGATGAGAGAAGGAGGGAGAGTAACCGCTTCTAATAAGAGTAAAAGATAGGTGGTGATGCAATGCGAAGACACGGAGAGAGGAAGAGGGAATAAGATAGACAGAGAGAAAGTGATAGAAAGCGCGAGAGATCCAGAGAGTGAACAAGAGGGGAGATTTAGCGGGAGAGATGGGAGATCCAGAAAGATAAAGAGAGAGAAAGAGAGAGAGAAACGCGCGCACACGCACGAACGACCGCGCGCCATGGGCCAGCGTGAAATGGGATACGGCACATTTGTTGGAAATATTCATCATGTCACCATAGATATATACAAACACATGTGTTTGTATATATCTATGATGTCACCAGCAAGTTTCGAGTGAAGCTTGGACTGGTCTGTGGAATTTGCTTCGAATCTGTCGTCATTTAGCATAAATAAAGTGCATGTTGTGTATGCACTGAGCCATTCATACTTCAACGAAGTATTTTTTTTTGTATTATTAATGCTTTTCTATTTTTGTGTCACGCTTATTCGGGTCTGCTCTTTACGAACGCCATCTACTCGTGAATCCTGCATAAACCCTAGCCCGCGGTCACCGCGCAGCTTCTGTTCTTTATTTACCCACACTCACTGATCAGCCATCCAACGACAGCAAGTGTAACAGCTGGCGCCGCTACCTTCATTCTGACGCAGCACGCACACCTACTGACATCTCCACGGGAGGCTGCGGCAGCCCGCATCCCTGCAGACATTCCTATAGGAAGCTACGACAACGTGAATCCCTGCTAGTATCTCTATAGGAAGCAGCGACGGCGTTATTGCCTGCTAGCACCCTAAATAGGAAGCCCTGCTGAGACGCGCACGAGAAGCTGCGGCAGCCCGCATCCCTGCTAGCATCCCTATAGGAAGCCCTGCTCAGACGCGCACGGGAAGCTGCGACAGCAGAAAGCTGCCGTGCATCGCCGCAGCGTCTGCTGCAAACAGAGGGAGGCGACCCGTCGCGCACAGACTCGATGCGGAACGAGAAAAGTTAGAAATATTGGGCGTCTGACGATCGACAGAGCCAGGTAGATTAGGTCGTATCGTGTAACTCTGAAAGACACGCTAACGCCGTGAGAAATACTAGTAGAGAATCCACACCGGACGTTCGCGCCTGCACGTTCACGAACTTTTACGTTCGCAACGCATAGAAACGTGGTAGAAAACTTCGGGTGTAGCTATCGACGGGCAAGATGAAGGGTGGACCACTAGTGCCCACCAGGCGTCTGTGATACGTGCATGGTTAACATTGTGTAAATGCTTATAAGACGACATCTTGAATGGACCTTAAAGCAATCGCTTACGACAACAGGTAGTTACAAAATCCAAGGTAAGCTGCATAAATCAGGTCAACAGGTTGCGAATGCACAGTCAGCGCGTGTGTTCGCGTGTACGCGTGCGTACGTACGTTAGTGACACGCGTGCGTACGTACGTTAGTGACACGCGTGCGTACGTACGTTAGTGACACGCGTGCGTACGTACGTACGTTAGTGACACGCGTGCGTACGTACGTTAGTGACACGCGTGCGTATACGTACGTTAGTGACACGCGTGCGTACGTACGTTAGTGACACGCGTGCGTATACGTACGTTAGTGACACGAGTGCGTACGTACGTTAGTGACACGAGTGCGTATACGTACGTTAGTGACACGCGTGCGTACGTACGTTAGTGACACGAGTGCGTACGTACGTTAGTGACACGAGTGCGTACGTACGTTAGTGACACGCGTCCGTGCGTGTGTCCGTGTGTGAATGTGCACTTGTCTGTGCGTGTGCGCGCGTGCGTGTATCCGTGCGTGTGACCGTGTGTGAATGTGCACTTGTCTGTGCGTGCGTGTGTGCGCGTGTGTGCGTGCGATATGTGTGCGTGTGTGTGTACGTAAACGATGAATATCCACGCTACTATTATGAAAATTAAGGAAAGATTATAATACTGTAACTTATTTCCCGGGGGAATAGTTTCCGTAGCCACCCTCAATCAGCCATCAGTGTTGCCTGATCCGCCCAATAGCCGCCTCGGCACCGAGTATCGGCGACTAGGCGTTACTTCCGGCACATCCGGCAGCAGCCGACTAACGACCGAAAGGCTGGAGGATAATTCCTGCCCGCTCACACTACATTTATGGGTGTGTGTGTGTGTGGCTTTGGTGTGTGTGTGTGTGTGTTTGCGAGCGTGCGTGCGTGCGTGAGCGTGCGCCCGGCAAAATACCACAATTATTATCTACAACTATTATCTAAAAGCTATAGTTAGGTGCTGTGAGGTGGTTGGTGTGTGTGTGGGTCGTGTGTGTGTGCGTGCAGTGCGTGCTGCGTGCGCGGCCGTGGCGTGCGCTGCGTGCGTGCGTCGTGTGTATCTGCGCAGCTTGTGTGCGATGCATATGGACTGTTTTGCGTATATATCCTATAGGTCGTAGAGTAACTCGTGGCAACCTTGGAGAACCGGTCAATTCGGCATATTCTCTAAGTGACGCATACATTGACAACCCATCGTCCATGGCAGAACATGCCATTCACGGCCGTTTATTTGATATAACTAAGAGCCCATTAACATGTTAATGTTAACGGGCTCGTGCTATAACTGTGGGCCTGCGGTTTGTTCGACGGAATATGTCAATTCACGTCTATTTAATGCACTCTGTCACTCACATCCTATTTGACATGTGGTCTAGTCTCTCACAGAACCTGCCACTCACAGCTTATTTAATGAACTTGACAGCGAGGTCGTTAGTAGAATCGCTTCCCTCTCGCTCGTCAGTGTGGGTCATTTCTCTCTCTTGCCTCTCATCTCTCGTCTCTCTCGCTCTCTCTCTCTCTCTCATCTCTCTCTCTCTCTCTCTCTCTCTTCTCTCTCTCGCTCTCATCTTCTCTCTCGCTCCATTCCTCGCTCTCTGCCTCATCTCGTCTCTCTCTGCTCTCTCTCTCCTCTCTCCTTCCCTCTCTCTCTCTCTCTCTCTCTCATTCTTTCTCTCTATCTCTCTCTGCTCGCTCTCTCTCTCTCTCATTCGCTCACCCGTTACCTCACCACCATTCCTGTCCATCCCCCTCCTCCCTCCCTCCCTCCTCTCTCCCTCACGTTGCATCTCTCTCTCTCTCTCTCTGCTCACCCGTTTCTGTCCACCCACCCCTCCTGTCCCGCTCACTCCCTCTTCCTCACGTTCCCGCCTCTCTCTTCTCTTCTCCTCCGCCCGTTCGGTGCACCACCCTCCTTCCCTCCCTCCTCTCTCACCTGCAGCGTTCCTCTCTCTCTGCGCTCCTCTCGCACCATCCGTTAAGCTACGCAGCACCACTCGTAACACCCATTGTTCCTGGCACCACCGTCCTTCCCTCCCTCCTCGTCACCCTCCTCTCTCCTCACGTTCCCTGTCTTCCGCCCATATCTCAGCCGTGGATGTTATCTTCATCATCCCGAACTCAGGTTAGACCTAGAATTGATGCTTGCGCCCTGACGCCTATATTAACTTGAATGGTTTCAGCGACAGCGTCTGTAAACCGCTGCCTCTTTCGGTTTCGGAGGCGGTTCGCACTCTGGGCCCCGTATGAGTATCTCGCCTCCTCAAAGCCTCCCGATGCCAATTGTCTCATGCATCTGACGATGTTAGACCTCCGATTGCTCCGCCC